TCCCTAAGTTTGATGCGCGCGCTGTCTGGACGGCAAGTTGGACAGCAAAGCAAAACAAGTCAAAGTAACAGGTTAAGACGTTCGGAGACTGAAGTGAGATAAGCCGAGATTTTTGAGATGTGGCACAAGGCCGGGCAAGAAGCAGAAGTTCCTCTAGGACCTCACGTGTGGCTGCATGCGGTGCCGTGTTGCCCGAAGTTGCACCGTTCCTGGAGCCCCCCAAAAAATAAGCCCGACTATCAAGATTGGTTAATCTCGTAAGACAAAGGCCGAGATTCTGCAGACGCGTGGATACCGCTTCAGAACGGACGTCGTGTATGTCTACACACTCCGTTGGAGCCAGATTGCGATGTGGCCTGCCTCCGTTGCCAAACAATCCGAGCTCATCTTTGAAGCGACAATCTGGTCCGGCATGCCCAGCCGTGGGGTTGAATCCGGGACGATGTGAATCCTCACGCTAGTGAAACCGACACTTTGATCCACTCTTCTTGCACTTCCAACCAACACTGCTATTCAAACGCAGCAAGCAAACGCAGCCAGCATGACAAAGATCAGAAGCTGGGAGGGTAGACAACATCGACCACGGCCCGCTTCCCACATCATCGCCCGCTTTGCGTGTCTGGACGAATCAACTACATCGTACATCAACCTGCTCCCGCAAACGACTCCGGACCCTCACAATCGACAGACAGTCCGTCTGGGCCATCACTTCTCGCAGCTCGGGCTGGCCAAGAAATGCCAACACCGTATCGGCAGCCGCGATGGCTTCCCTCGGCGTTATGCAGTGTGTAAGCTCCTGGTCGCAGGTCTTGGGTGAAGTGCCTCGGGGCCTCCCACGTCGTTCCCTTTGTGTCCACTCCGGGGATGCCTCATGCTCCGGCCCCATCGTCACTTCCGCTCGTACAGGCCTATCCTCAACTCCCGTCTCCTAATTGTGTTTCTTGCCTTGCTGTCTCTTGGACCGTTTCTTCAGAGACGCCTGCTCGAACAGCGAGCGGATC